GGGGCGGGGCCGGGATGGGGCGGGGCCGGGATGGGGCGGGGCCGGGATGGGGCGGGGCTGGGCCGCGTCGCGCGGCAGCCGGGACGCGCAGGCGCTGCCATGGCGACGGCGGCGGAGGAGCAGAGCCGGGACGCGGCCCGGGAGGAAGGCCCGGATGTGGCGCGGGATGAGGCCGCGGCCGGCGCTGAGGAGATGGTGAAGATCATCTGCCTGGGCGACAGCGCCGTGGGCAAGTCCAAGTGCGTGGGGCTCGGGGGTCCTGCGGGTTCGGGCGGGGATCCCGCGGGTTCGGGCGGGGCAGCGGCGGCGCCGCGGGCTGACGGCGGCCCGTGCTCTCTCCGCAGGCTGCTGGAGCGGTTCCTGCTCGATGGCTTGTATCCTTGAGAACGGGGAAGCGGGGGAGCGGTGCGGGCACGACGGGAGGCGGTGCCGGCCTGGCCCGGTGGTCGCGGAGGAGCGGGGTCTGCGCCTCCGTGAGCTCCTTAACGCGCCGCAGCCGCCCCCAGCAGGTGTCCACGTTCGCCCTGACGCTGTACCAGCACCGCGCCCGGGTGGGCGGGCAGGAGATCCGCGTGGGTGAGTGGGGCCAGCCCGGGAGGTACGGGATGTTCCCGGCCATAGGCGGTGCCATGGCAGAGGGAACAGCTGGGAAGTGGAGATCCCCTCGGTCTGGGTCTTGGGTGGGTGTTTTGATAGACGACAACATCGTGACAAATCTGGTGCCCTTCTGTGCCGCGGCTGCAGCATAGGTGGATGGGGCAAAGTGATTGCCATCATCCCCCTGGGATTGGCAAAGTGTACGGCACTGTCCCTACGATGTCCTGGGCTCTGAGCTGGAGAGATAGGGATTGAATGGATGGGTGGACAGTCGGAGGATAAAGAATGGTCTGGATGACCGCATGGAGTCACTAGTCATGGCTCATTGTTCTTGTGGAGACCTGGACAAGTGGAGTCCCTCGGGGTTAGGGCTGGAGCTGACACTGCTCAACATCTTCGTTGTGACATGGACAGTGAATGCAAATATGGTCTGATGTATTTTGGGCAGTTTAAGGAAGTCACTGTCCAGCAGTGAGACACAGTCCAGTCAGACACAGTATCAGTGCAAAAGAATCCCTAAGGAAACTGGCTCATCTGGCTTTGGGTACTGCGCCACACTTGGGTCCAGCTGACAAGAGGTGTGACTACACTGAGGTGCTTAACTGAAGCTGTGCCAATTTATACAGCAAACCAGACTCAGATGTGAGCCTACAAACCCAGTGAGAGGTGGAGGATCTCCACCTGAGCTGCACTAACAGCAAAAGGCATGGTGGTGTCTAGGTTTGCCCCATGATATCTAGTGTACACAAAACTTCATGGACTGGGACCTTCTTTGCCTCTGGCTGCCTTACCTTCAGCATTTCAGAGTGAGTCCTGCCCCTGGGAGAGTGGAGTCAGATGTCTGTGAGAGGAGCTGGAGCATTTCCCATGGCAGGGCCCCGGCTGACTATTACTGGGTCAGAAATCAGCAGTGTCCAGCAGTTTTTAGAGTTTTAGGTAGTTTCCTGTTGTCATCCCTAGTGACAGAGTGCCAGACATTGCTACTGCTGTTTGCCCTTCTTCCTGTCTTGGTCCTGCTGTCCCATACAACTGATGTCACTGGTGGCTTCTCCTTTGTTGGGTCAGTGCCAGCACAGCCCACAGCCAAACACAATTTCTTAACACTCCTGTGTCCCTGAGCAGGTGGGCTGTCTCTGCCTCCTGGGTGTAAGTTGTAAGAAAACAGAGCTCGGTGAGTTGTGTCATTCTGAGCTGTTCTTGCATTGCAGACTTCTGGGACACAGCCGGCCAGGAACGGTTCCGGAGCATGCACGCCTCCTACTACCACCAGGCCCATGCCTGCATCATGGTGAGGGGGTCTCAGCTGGGGGATTTGGACTCAGGATGGTCTCAGTGACACTTGGCCTTTGTGTTACTTTTATGGCTACACTGCCATGTGTTCCTTGTTTCTCTCCTAGATTGTTTTTTCTTCTCTCACCAGATAAATCCCCTGTAGATGGACCCCCTAAGATGTAGCTAACCCCCTGGTTAGCTCTGGTCTGTCTCTCCTGGTAATACTTTCCTCTATCCCCTGGATCTGCTGTCTTCTTAGTGTCCTCATGTTTGCTCCTGTTCCCAGTTTTGTTGGCTCCTCACCTGTTCAGATCTCTTGGTTTGTCCTGTCGCTCTCACTTTCCACTCTTCCTCACCACTTGGATGCCCTAGTGATTTTCATTGGTGGTTTAGTTGTCAGAACAGAGAAGGCCACATCTGATCCTGCTTGGCACAAACTGTTCTCAGTGCCAGCTCCCTGTGTGGGTGGCAGGGACTTGTACAGGACACCATGACAATGTAAAGGACACCAAGGGGTTGTTTCCTGCTAGCTGGGCTTGGGGATACTGTCTCTTTCTCTTTCACTCTTTTTAATAACACCCAGTTCCCTTTGTCTTTTCTTCCTGGGAACATTCTGAATTCTGTCCTTGTGTTGGTCAGAGCTGTCCTGGGTTGGCCCCACAGATTGGTCAGAGCTGTCCTGGGTCAGTCAGAGCTGTGCTGGGTTGGCCCTGGGATAGGTGGTTCTCTTTTGGAAGGTGTTTGATGTGCAGCGGAAGGTCACCTACAAGAACCTGAACAGCTGGTACAAGGAGCTGAGGGAATTCCGCCCAGAGATTCCATGCATTGTAGTGGCCAACAAGATTGATGGTGAGTATACCTTCTGCTCCCAACTTGCCAGAGTCGTGGTGGGATTTGCTCTTGTCCTGAGAACGAATGTCTCTTGTCTGTTGGGTCCAGAGGATTTCCTCAGTCCCCCGGGGCTGGGTCCTGTGCTGACCTCAGCTGCTTGTGCTACAGGTGCTTGTCCTGTATGACCAGCAATTAAAAGTGCAAATTTGATCCATTTCAGTTTTATTCAAGTGTTGTTCTTCCAATTCTGTGCTTACCACACTGCCTATTCTATCCATCAAGAATCCAAAAGTTATTGGAGTGGCACCTGGTCAAAAATGGCAGGAAAAGGAGGCAAAAGCTGTGGCTTCCCTGGATCAGTCAGGGATGGCTTTGGTGCTTGCTGCTCCTTCAGTCTACACAGACTCCTCTGTGCTGAAGTGTCTCAATGTACCTGCTCAAACTGTTCACCTGGCTCTGCTGGAGGCTGGAGCATTCCCTTCCATGGGGAATGCCAGCCAGTCCTTAGTGATTGCTGTCACTGGGCTGTGGCTTGTCTGGGTCAGCAGGGGCTGACGTGTCACACAGAAGACACACACCTTCTGGACCTCCTGCCAGGTCTGACTGACCATGTCTTCTTTGTCTGCCTCAGCGGATATGAAGGTGACCCAGAAAAGCTTCAATTTTGCCCGGAAGTTCAGTTTGCCCTTTTACTTTGTGTCTGCTGCTGATGGCACCAACGTTGTGAAGGTGAGATGGGCATTTGACTGCTGTACTTGGTGTCCATGAGGCCCTTGGCAGCCCAGGGACACGGGCTGCTGTGGGCACAGAGAGTAGGAAATGGTCCATGTGAGACACTGGTGGCTATGGAGAGCTGCACAGGGGTTTTTTTTCCCTTGGGATGTGGGAACAGTGTCCATCTGCTACAGAAACCCAGTGCCCATGTGCCCCATCCTGTGAGTGATGGGCCTTGTCCTTCCCACCAGCTGTTCAATGACGCCATCAGACTGGCCGTGGCTTACAAACAGCACTCGGGAGACTTCATGGATGAGGTCCTGCGGGAGCTGGAGGTAGGGAAGGCTCTGTCCCTGCTCTGTGGTGAGTCCTGTCAGATGAGCAGTTCTGCCCTTTTTCCACTGTGGCAAACGAGGGAAAGCGTTGCCTCTGCTGGTGATCCTGGAGGCTTTGTGTGCTGCTCATGTCTGGGCTGGGAGGAGGGAAGTGGGAACCATCACAAGAGCTCTCACTGCCCTAGGCGGAGTCTAAAAGAGCCGCAGCAGTTACAGTTGTTGCAGTCTCTGCCATTTCTCAGCAGTTTCTTGTCCTGCTCCTTTCCAGAGCTTTGACCTGCCGAAGACAAGCAAGGATTTGTTGGATAAAGGGAAGAGCTGCGCTGAAGAGGAGCCCTCATCTGCCTAGGCCTGGACTCGTAGGCTGGTTTTCCCTTGGCTCTGGACTTCTGGAGCCTGCACAGAGGACAGTGATGTTTCTCGTGCCCTGGAGCTGTGGTGAAGGGCAGCTGGGCCTCTTCCCTTCTTGTGGGAGTCTACCTGGGCAGGATCTTCATTGGCTCAGCCCTCACTGCTGCACATTTCGCTTAGGAGAGGGATGGGAGAATCCAAGTGATTCCACAGGGATGGTCACTCAATCCTACTGCTCCTTCAGGACAGAGCTGGCTAGGAGAAGTGAGCTCTCTTGGACTTGCAGGAAGGATCCTGCCCAGATGCTGTAGTGGTACCTGCTGAAGAAACCAAACACTAAAGGATATTTTTTACTAAGCTATGAGATGGCATCCTCCCTGCACTGCTGCTGAAAGGAGGCAGGTCCCAGGTGGTATAAGGCCACGGTCCAGCCCAGCCTGCTCCCAGCTGAGCTGGTGCTGCCTCAGTCCACCCATGACCTGTGCTGCAGCATCCCTGGGCTCCTATCCCCATTCTGCCCCAGAACAGCCAGATCCCATGGGCTGCTGAGCACAGGTTTCTCCTTCCAGGTCCATAGAGCTGACACAGGTGGGCTCACACCCATGGGCTGGTTCTGTCCCAGATCGTTGGATGTGGCTGTGGCTCTTGTCTCTGTACGTGTGTGTGCACAAGATGCTGCATTCCACATTCTTAGACAATCACAGAATCATGGAATGCTTTGGTTTGAAAGGGATCTTAAAGGTCATCTCATTCCATGCCCTGCCATGGGCAGGGACGCCTTCCACTATCTCAGGTTGCTCTAAGCCCCATCCAACCTGGCCTTGGACACTTCTAGGGATCCAGGGGCAGCCACACCTTCCCTAGGCAGCCTGTGGCCAGGTCCTCACCACCCCATGAGTAAAAACTTCTTCCCGACACCTCATCCAAGTCTCCCCTCCTCTAGATTTAAACCATTCCTCCTTGTCCTGTCACAACCTGCCCATGCAAAAAGCCACTCTCCCCCATTATTATAACCTGCTTCAGGCACTGGAAGGGGCACCGAGGTTTCCCTGGAGCCCTCTCCAGGCTGAAGAATGAATGTGAACAGCACAGCAGATGGACAGACAGCAGGGACCCTGCGGGTGCACTGAGCAGAGCTGTAAGCACGGTTAATGGTGAACACAGAAACTTTACTTCAACACCTCAGTCACGGCAGCATTGCTGTGGCTGCAGCAGAGCAGCATGGGCAGGACAGAGAAGCCTCTGGCTCCAAGGCTACCTTTGGCTCAGTAGGAAATGCCGTGGTCCACTGTAGCCTTGGATCCTGCTCATCCCCCTGCTGCTCAAGCTTTTTTGTCGTTCAGAAACTGCAGGAACTCCTGCAGCAGATTCCAGAATTGCACCAGGATCTGGTGTGGGAATGCCACAGGCAGTGATGTGCCTGAGGATGTCACCGCTGGTCTCTGGCTGTACTCAGGGGTCAAGTTGATGTCTTCCTCTGGCTCCTCTGGCTTCACGCGCTGCTCAGGGACTGAGGTGATGTCTGACTCTGGTGCTGGACCAGCTCTTTCTGCTGAGCTCAGGCCCGTCTGGAGCAGGATCCAGTTGTAGAAGTGTTGAGTGGAGGTGTAGATCCCGGGGTGCCTGGCTCTGTCACAGCCTCTTCCCCAGCTGTTCATGCCCACGAGCCAGAAGTAGTCAGCTGTGTTGTCCTTGCAGACGAGGGGACTCCCGCTGTCCCCCTGT